AGTGGTTTAATTAAATTTAAAAAATAATTTATAAAGACTATTGAAATAAAATATATTATTAATTAATTAATTAAATCAATTAATTAAATTTAAAAAATAATTTATAAAGACTATTGAAATAAAATATATTATTAATTAATTTTTTAAATCAATTAATTAAAAAAAATATATTATTATTAAAAACAAATGAAGTAAAAGCAAACAAAAATAGGCAAAGGCGTGCGGGTGCACTGCCACGGAAGCCGATGACAAACAGCGTCAGGAAGTTAGTTAGCGGAAGGGTTGATTTGCACCCATCGTGGGGTATGAGGGCTTATTTGCTATTTTTTTAGCTCAGGGGTTTATCACTTGCTGTTGAAAAAGTTGAGGGGCTTAGGATGGGTTTTTGCCTTTTTTGTGACATGAAAATGATGACATTACGATGGTGAAGCCAGCCAATCCTCGTACTGACAACCATGGTATAAGCTGCCTTTACCTAATAAGTCTTTTTTTGTGGGCTCAACAACGTTGCAGACGACATACGTGCAGCTTTTACTGTCTTTTGATCCTTCTACGGCCGGAACCCCATCATCAAAGTTCTGTGTGACACAGCACGGTTAATTCAAGGGTCATAAATGGTACATTAAACAAGAAGAAAAAAAAAAATAGCAACAAACTCGTGCAGGCAAGTGTGGTTTTCCATCTAATCACACCTGACAGTTTGTTTTGTACTTATCCAAACTAATTGTCTCTTTTTAGACCATGTTAACGAAACTCACATGCCTAAGAAAGTGCATGAACTAGTTGCCTAGTTGCAGTTTTTTAACCACTAGACTTCTATTTGTTATTGCTTCTTACAACAAAAATGCCAGACATTGGATTCTGAGAGTTGACTTTTACATTCAAAAACAGTTGGGTTAGCATTATTCTCCTCATTGATATAGATTCATTCTCCCTTTCCTCCAAAAACTAGAGTTGATATGGAATAAGATGATTGGTCTGAATGTATTGAGTTTTATTCTATTCTCAATTTTGATGTTGTTACAGAACATTTGTCTTGCTGAAAACAATGTGAGTGCCGGTTGGGAATGTTCAGAAGCTGATAACTCAGCATCTGAAAACTCCTCCTAGGCCAATCTTGACAACGATCTCAATCAGCTGGTTGAAAAAGGGCCTAACAGTGGATTCTACAAAACCACAGCAGGGGAGAAGTCAGATAAGATTTATTGTCTTGTGCAGTGTAGAGAGGATGTTTCTGCAGCAAACTGTGCTAACTGCACAAACCAAACGGTAACTGTTGCCGTGCAGGATTGCCCCAAGAGCAAAACGTTTAAGGTTTGTTTCACATGGTGCTATCTCCAGTATTCTGACCAGCCATTCTTTAATGTGGGGGATAAACCCTCAGCAGCAATATACAATTGTACCAACGCTGATGTACCAACACTGATAACCCATCTGTTGCATCCCAAGGGTTCAACTTCATGAACGAGCTTGCAGCTGTGGCTGCAAATCAGACTCTGATGCTTCAGGCTGGAGTGCTGGATGTTGGACATAGCAGGTAGAGGTATGGTATGGTCCAGGGCACTAGGGATATTAGTCGAGCTAGCTGCAGCAAGTGTTGGATGCTCAGAGTCATGACTATCAGTTCTATTTCAACATCTTTACCTCCTCTAATGATGCTAAATTACAGAACTGCATTAATCATTGTTTTGCCTTGATCTTGAAGTTATACTTGCAATATATAAATTATGAATGAAACTGAACTATGGCTATTAATTGCAAAACAGGTGCTTGAAGATCTTCTTCATGTAGAGTTGCAATTGACATAACTATGGTTGTCCTGGTGCTTGTATTGGTGCTTGTATTGGTGCTATAGACCTGTAGCCATTGGATGTCGTTCAGTTATATGGGAGGTTGAAGGTGAAAGTTGGAATCAGTTGGGAGCAATTTTTAGCTGAAACTTTTGTGAATCTTGATCTTTTATGTCTTAATTGTTAATTCTTCTTCATGGTTCAAAAAGGAGACAAAATGCAGCGGAAAGAGGTAGAACATAAACTGAAAATGGAGAGTATAACACTAAAACTCAAAATTTTCATTAACAAACTCTGCTTTATTTACTAGAAAAGCAAATTAAAAACAATTCAAAAAGTACTCTGCTTTATGTTTTTTGTTTTGTCTGAGCAACTTTTTGACATCAAAAGGCAACAATGAAGTACATCAAAAACTAGTAAAAGACAGCCACCAACTTGAAGCCTTCAACTTCATTTGCATTTGAATTTCACAGCATCATCTTCATGATTTGCTATTTCAATTTTCTGTTATCAAAATGAAGATAACAATGCAGCCAACTTGCTGTCAAATTGCATCTTGATTACCTGTCAATTTTCAGCTTCATCGCTGCCATTTCACGGCAGCTTTATTTCGTCACTTTTGTAGGTTTCAATGCCACAACTCTTTTTTTTTTTTTTTTTTGATCAGCAAAGCATCATACGAAATATATTAGAAAAGGAGCATAAGAAATACTCCCAAAACAAATACAATCCGGGGAACTCAAGTTACACAACCAAATTTACCTACATCAATCAAATACTCAAAAGCTCAGAAAAAACCTTCAGGAAAACTACAGGAGAAGAAAAAAACTAAGCCGGTACCTGCAGCTTATGACAACCTAAAAACCCAAACAAAACCATACCCTTCAGGACCCATACAGCAGACGCATAGAGCAGATTGTGAACCTCCCCCATTAGCTAGGCAATGCCACAACTCTAATAACAATCCCAATATTAACTAGTTAATTGAAGTTTACATTATTTTAAAAAAGAAACTAGGTAGTACTGTTGGTTGTAGATTGACCGGACATAAGAGATCCCGTGTTTCCACTACTTGAAGAATAAACAGGCAATGCCAGAAATCTCGCTGCTGATGGTTGGGGGAGGTATGTTGACTTGCTACCAAGCATGATAACAACTGATGACATTGTAGGCCGATGTGCAGGGTCATCCTGGACACAAAGTAATGCAATTTGAGTCCATCTTTGAACATCATTCTCGGGACAGTTGTTGTCAATGTTTGGATCTATCAATTCCACTGCTTTACCTTCACTCCATAGCATCCACGCCTGTTCAGGATCACACATTATAATGGGGTTCATAACTAGGTAAAGAGAACTAATATATGTTTATGAACAAAATGTTCAAGAGATTAAGAGTAGGGGCTTACATATGCTAGAAGGCTCTGCCCACAATCTGAGGTGGAGAATCCCTTGTTCTTTTTACCACTTATTATTTCTAGCATTAGGATTCCAAAGCTATAAACATCTGATTTTACTGAGATCTGTCCTTCCAATGCATATTCTGGTGCCATGTATCCGCTAGTATAGAAAGCAGTTAAGGTGCCTTAACATCTATAATTTCGTAGAGAATAATGTTAAGAATGGAACGATGGTTGAGGGAAACACTTACCACGTTCCAACAACTCTCTCAGTGTTGGCTTCCATTTGTCTAATTCCAAAGATTCTTGCAGTGCCAAAATCTGATATCTTGGGGTTCATCTCATCGTCCAAGAGAATATTGCTTGCCTTCAAATCCCTATGGATTATTTTAAGCCGAGAATCCTCATGCAGATACTGCATGCCCTTTGCAGTCCCATTAATGATATTTGCTCTTGTCTTCCAATCTAATAGCTTGCATTTTGTTGCATCTGTCTTCATAAAAGCACTGTTAGCCATTAAAATACAGAAAAGGTATGACTTGGAAATGTGAGGAAAGGAGCTAACCAAAAAGAAAAGCGTCCAAGCTAGTGTTGGCCATGTACTCATAGACAAGAAGCTTTTCATCTTTCTCAAGGCAGTATCCCAAAAGCCTCACAAGATTTTTGTGTTGAAGTTTAATGATTAACTTCACTTCATTCTCGAACTCTTGAACACCTTGATTCGATGTCATTGAAAGCCTTTTGACAGCTACTTCTCTCCCATTATGCATTATTCCCTGCAAGCATTGATGTGAATTAACCGCGTTAACCAAAGAATTTTGTCCTAAAATTCAGAAGTGTATTGTTATATGATCGATTCTTCGTTTAAAACCTTGTAAACAGGACCAAAACCTCCTTCTCCCAGCTTATTGGCATCAGAGAAATAATTTGTTGCAGCCTGTATTTCAGCTAAACTAAAGTAATGCATTTCCCCACTGTGTTCTTCATCTGCTTCGTTTATACCTGCTGCCTCCACAATGTGATCTTGATTTGGGCCTTGAAAATTTCTTAACGGAATGTCTTCATTGTTTCCTCCCCCTGTGTGAAAAATTAGCAACACCATAGACCCAACTTGCAAAAGCTTTTTTTAAAAAAAAAAAAAAATTCAAATTTCAACCATCTAGGAAAAATGAAAAACAAAAAAAGAGAGAGAACTACTTGTAACTACCTGTCAGTCTTTTCTTCCTGTAGGATGTAAAACACAAGAAACCAGCGAGAATGAATACAAAGACAGCTGCCGATGATGATACAGAGATGATCACAACCTTCTTTATGCTTTTTCTTCCATTCCCTGCTCCTACATATATTACACCAAACAGTCACAATTTTTCTTTTAAAAGAGTCTAGTTTGGAAACTTAATATGACCATTTAAAATTTGTCCTAAATTAGTACATACCTTGTCGTGGCATCTCAAAAAAAGGGTATTCTTCATATCTTGCAAAGCAACTTGGGGCTAAGAAACGCCACCCTGCGGGCCACGGGCAACATTCCCTGATTTGATTTGTAATATTCTTCAAACAAGAGTAACATGAACTACTATTGAGATCTCTGCTGCACTGCGTTAGGATATATCCAGACTGCGACCCATTACTACTCAAAACTTTTTGTTGGGCGTCAAATAGCATTTTTGAGTTCTGAGCTTGCTTAATCGAATCATCTAGCAAACTAAGCACCTCAGAGTTCTCTCCCGTTGAATTAACGTTTTGTGCATTGCAAATACAGTAGTTTGGACTAAAACTTATTTCACCAAAGAAGTTGGTATCGGAGTAGCGTAACAGGCATTCATCATACCAGATGACTGCTCCTAGATAAGAAGAGCAATTTTGGGGCAGAAATTGGGTAGCATTATTGACGCAGGTTTGGCAAGTGCCTTCATTAACATCACCTCTGCAGAGAAAGAGGCCATGGATTCCATTTAAAGATTCATTGTAGAATAAGTTATCGGAAGATTTGGAGTACAAAGAATTCACCAGGTTTTCAACTAATGTTTCATGATTGGAGTCTTCATGATATCTCTCTACACATTGGAGATAACGCAAGGAAAACTGGCAAGAGTATCCGAAATTTAACACAAAGATTGGGATCAAAAACAGAAGAAAAGGTTTAAATTTCTGGAGAAGAGAGATCATCATTTCAGTGATGCAATGGAAAAGGGGCCGAGGATATGAAGATATGAATTACAGGGATATTTGTTCTTTTGTACTCTGGAAATTGAGAAGCTTAAGACGAAGATGAAGACTAATTAAGAGCAATGGTGGCCACATTGGCCATGGCAGCTACGGAAGGTGTAGCATGTTATCACTTGACTTGATTTTCTTGTAACCTTAGGTGGACGTTTTAATTGAGTTGGATGAATAAGCCCTTTAAATTGATTGGCATATGAAGGAAAAATTGTGTGGTCTGGATTATGTCATGTCATCCCACTCACACCATCCTTGAAATTTCCTCAACCGCGCGATATTAATGTGTTGATCAAGTTGAAGTCATTGGTTTAGTATTTATTTTTAATACAAACACTCATTTAATATATTATATAATATATTTATTAAAATATTATTATTTTTAATTTAAGAATAAAAATATATAAATTTAAATTTACAATCACATAAGTAATATAAAAAATTAATTTAATTAATTATATAGATTATATTATAATAATTAAACTAAATTAATATAAAAAAATATGACAAATAAAAAATATATAAATTTTTGTTATTATTATTTTACGATACCCTCTAACAAAATGTGGCACGAATCAATTACTTAATTTGGTATTAATATCTTGGTCAAATTCGCTGGCCGTTTATCATTGGTGCAAAAATGTGGGACGGGTTAATTTCCGAATTCGGCGTTAAGATGGTGAAGTCGATAACAGTATAGTTTTTTCCCACTTTCTTTTAAATTTTATTCTAAATATATATATATATATAGATATTCAGAGTACAAGATAATTTTTATCATAAACTTATATTACAACATAAAATTTAGTATTAA